AAATATAATGAACCACTCCACCATGGTTGTTAAAAGGAAAAACTGGGCATTCCCTGTTCCAGGGAGCATGTGACTCTCTCTGTCCCCTGACTGACCATTTTCCCAGGAAGCACCTAGCCCACAGGGAACCTACAGTATAGGGTGGTTTCCCTGCCTGTTCTTCTCCATGGAACCCTCCTAGACAAGATGCAGCTGGAACAGTTCTGATCTCTGGCTTCTGCAAGCTGAACTTGATGCAGTTCTGTCCAGTGCTGAACTTGAGCATGGGACAAAACCTCTGTGGTCTCAGTTTCTCATTAATAATAATAAAAAAAATGAGCATCAGAAGTTGTCATGAGACCTCTTGATCACGCTTTTTCTGTCAGCATCAAGGGCTCTGCCACCACATCAGGAGCAACCCTGTGGGTTTTGGAATCCTGTGGCTGTGGCCTCTTTCCTTTCTTTACCTTCTGGGTCCTCCAGTGAGTGTCAGTCTGTCCCTGGGAACAAGGTATGACTTCCTCATCTGCCTGATAGGACTCAAATTCATTTTTCAAAATCCATCTCCTCCTAATCTCGTCATAAATGACCTACCATTCATCAAAATCAACTTGGCCACAGATGCAAATCCTGGCTGTCCCCTCTCCCCCGCCTCCGCCAACCTGCGTCTGCTGACAAGTATTATCAAGGCACTTCCTTCTTTGTGGACGTGGCAATGACGCTGACATCAGCCCACGGAAGCCTCACGTGGATGCTGGTGGGAGAGAGTTTGCCCACGTGCTTTGGCTGCTTCCCTTCCCACACTGGGCCCCTGCCCAGCATCTACCACCACGGTACTCCAGAGCCCATGACTCTCCCCGCCTCACTGACCACTCCCCAGCAGCATTTCTCCTAGCTGACCACTCCAGCTTTCTTGGAATAATGATCTTTCTTCATTTGGCTTCTGGGACCCATGTTTTCTAGCGCTACTGCTTATCTCACGGGCTCCATCTTGTTTCTTCCGATGGCACTTTCTTCTCTTCTGGGTTTAGTCCTTGGACCTCTTTCCTCTGTCTGTGGTTACCATCTTGTGGTCTTATCTGGTCTCAAGGAGTTCAACACCATCACTGCCTTTTGGCTCACTAGCCTGACCTCTCCCTGTGGCTCAGGCTCATTTGTCTAGCGGCTTCTTTAGTGTCTCCCGTCGAGGTCTATGGTGTGCCCATTTCCCCAGTTGCTCAGGTGGAAAATCTGGGAAGCATTCTTGATGCTTCTCATTCTTTAATTTACCAAATTCAATTCATCAGCAGACCCAGATCAAAACATTTCTAGACTCCAACCATGTCTCACTACCTCCACCATGGTCCA